TATTTATTTTTTTATTATGTAATATTTTGCGGAATTTTCGAAAAACTGCGTTCGGATACTTTCTTCCAGGTACTGTATATTAATATTAATATATATTAATATAGTAATAGTCATATATACATAATTGGTGTTGAAATTTCATCGTGTAACTAGTACAAATTTAGAAACTATCTGCAGAAAACAATTAATGCGTGCAACGTGACACGCCGAAATTTCATTGTATTAGTAATCGATATTAATATATATATATATAGGAATATTAATGCTTATACAACATATTTATTCGTATATATATATATTAATATATAATAATAAAAACCTCAATATTTTCTTATAAAACAGTAGATGGAAATCATGCGAATGGAAAGATATATCACTCAGCAATACAGAAATAATCAATGCGTTAGCTAGTGTGCACTTGAATTTCGATGATTACATATCAGAGAAATTATCCAAAGAAGACTGCAGATTCAGTGAATTTGATTACAAATTAATATATCAGAAAAATGAGTCTAAAAAACTCTTTCAAAAATATGCTCTTGTAAGAGACTATGATGGATTTATAGAAGATAAAGGAGCCATGGAATTAAAAAGTAGTAATTTTCTTCATAATAGAAAAAGATATATATGTGACACAGCCGAATTGGATAAATGGAAAGCTATTATGAAAGAGCAAGTGCAACAAAAAATAACTTACTTATATGATGATTGCTCAAGATTTACCACATCAATTGTTTTATAACTCACCTACAATTTGTGATAATCCAAATTTAAATGTTAGCGTTAGCCTTTTACAAAAAAAACTTATACGTAAAGGCAAAGTGACGCTTCCAATTTTACAAAAATTATATAAAGGATATATTATCACGAAAAAAAGAATAGACAAAAATGCCTTGACCTTACATGCAAAAGATAGTATATATATAAGTCTGTCCTGTAGTTTTTAACTCTTATTATTATCTTTAAAAATGGATAATTTGAAAGTAATCAAAAAATTTACGAAGAATTTTTTTTTAAGTTGCAATATATGAAAGAATTCAGTGAGCAAACTTTAGGATATCATGGAGATATTAAGATGTGGTAAGCTGCTTCGCAATAGAAAAAGATATATATATAACTCGGCTGAATTGAATAATGGAAAAAGCAAACACGTTTAACAATGTACATGGAATAAATAATATACGTTCAACAAGAAGAAACCACAACTACTCTATGGAATTATTACTTCAAGAATTAATTGATTATCAAACATTCACACCATGGGAAGAACGAAGGACGAAGATACTTTTTTAAAAAATTATCTTTTAGGGGTTAACATAATACTTGTGTAAGGACTATAGATTTGGTGAGCACCAAGGTCACAAAAAATAACTTCGTTCACTTATAAATGTTAGTGTTAGCCTTTTACAAAAAAAACTTATACGTAAAGGCAAAAAGTGGCACCTCCAATTTTACAAAAATTATATAAAGGATATATTATCACGAAAAAAAGAATAGACAAAAATGCCTTGACTTTGCATGCAATAGATAGTATTAGTATATGTTCAACAACGATATTTATCATTTGTTCTTTTGTTTTGTTATTTTTATTCTTTTTCTTTAAAAAATTTTTTAATTCAATATCCAAGATCAAACATTTTTTATTATATATATAGTATTTTTAATATCTTTGATTCACATATATATAAATAAAATTAGATTAATTGTATTTTTTTAGGATAGTAATATATCATCAGGAAATATCTAACTCTTATTATTATCTTTAAAAAATGGATAATTTGAAAGTAATCAAAAAAATTTATGAAGAAATTTTTTTTAAGTTGCTATATATGAAAGAATTTAGTGAGTAAACTTTAGGATATTATGGAGATATTGAAATCGTACTATAAAAGATTGAAACATTTAAAGGTTTTACAAACATGTTATAAAGATGATTCAGAAAGTACAAACCAAATCAGATTAGCAATACCAGACAAAGTAATCAAATTAAATATTCCTGAAGAAATAAAGAATTCATTTTTGGAATAGGCTTGGTTTACAATTAGGTTATAATTAACATTAGAAATTTTTTTTGCTATATACTATAGCATAGTGGACACTGTTGCAGATCACAAAAAAATGATCAACATAACATATGTTATGGTGAAAGTTCTTGCAAAAGTTTGATATAAAAAGTGTGAGATAATTTTGATCTTGCTAATGATCTGGACTTGGAGAGGTTACAGCTATATTCTAGTGAAGTTTCAGAAGCAACGGGCTCTGTGTAACCACCTGCCTATTATACAAATGACTGTTGATCTGCAACAGTGTCCACTATGCTATATACTATATATTTTGATTCGTAAATTTTCAAATTATTTTGTCATAATATATTGTCTTCATTTTTTCTTCAAAATAAAAATATATTAATATAATAAAATGTACCTTTAATTCATATAAAAAATTGTCAATTTTTTCACCAATTTATAAATTCTTGTGTTGAGATTATTGTTGAGTAAAAAGTCACAAAAAAAAAAAAAGCTGGTAGCTTGATTTTCCTAGTACAGACCCCATATATTAATATATATAATTTATTATTATTATTAATATTATCTGACATTATAGGGAGCTTCAAAAATACAGAAAATTGCACGGTCGAGTTATACAAATTAATAACATTTTATTCAAAGTTTGAAGAAACAATAGAAAAAGTCAAGGCATTAAACTATTTCGACAACTTCCATACAGAATAATTGAGTAATTGATCCAAAAGTATAAATTTCAACAAGGGCTCAATTTCCTCCCTTCTGGCTTATTTTCACCTTGTTATAGGATTTCATTTTAGATAGTGGACTATTTTCTTTTAATTGCTTTTGGAACTCTTCTTTATTGTTAAATATAAATCAATGAATTTGGCAATTTTTTCAGCACTCTCATCAAATTCCTCTCAAGTATTATTAGTGAGAACTAAGTCAGCATGTTTTTTAGTAGGTGTAGGAAGAATGTGCTTATGGATTAGAAGTTTGGTTATGTTTATTCACAAATAAAAGGCTTCAGAAACATCATTTCCATAGTTTCTTCTGTCTTTTATGGGTTCACCAACCATCTTCTTTTAGTGAGGAGATCTTTTAATCCTTCCAATTAACTCAATAAATCTTCAAATCGGCCATATTTCTAATTTCCTCAAATACTAAGACATGACTTCCTTCTACAACGATTATTGGTTTGGCTTCTACTTCCTCATGCCATTCATTTCGCCTTACTGAATATAAGTCAGTCACTCTCATGCTTTTTATCTTTTAATCTATGATGAGCGTCATCAATCGTCGTCATTGTCATCACTAAGCAAGCTAATAAAGTTTTGAAATTATGCATACAAAGTATCCATTTCTACCACCTCATCATTGTTAATGTCATTCTTCACGAGGAACTGTTGAAAGAACGTTTATCTGTAACATCATAGACCAAAAGTACTCCAATTAATGTTGTTTGACGAAACATTACCAAAGTTGTAAAACTATTACGTCAAATTAAATCAAAATGACACAAGTAAAATTGCTTTAAATGCCAATAAAATATAAAATATCTTGTAAATATGTATTCCAATCTCTCCTTTGTTTAATCAGTTGTTCCCAAGGAGCCAAGTCTTTCTTTTACTGAATACAATTCAGTTCCCACACACTCATCTACTACTAAACTCGAACATTTCTTATTATATTAATATTAATAACGTGATACATAATCGGGGTAGATAAAATCATCCCGCACTTTATGTTCCAGGGTCAACTAATTTTAGTGTATAATTATTATCAAAATGAAAATTTTACGCAAAAGCTTTTTATATAATACAAGTTACTTTGCAATAATGAACCTTTAATTTTCCTTATTCTTCCTTATTGCAGTGATCAACTAAGAATAACTTCTGGTCCTCGCAGAGGAAAACAATAGATAGTCAACGTTCTAATAAAAATAAAAACAATCATTTTTATTAAACGTTAATAAGCTTTTAAAAATTAACGTAATTTGCTTTAGTGAGCAAGCAAAGGTTAAGACTAAAGTTGGTTAACTAGTGGATGTTAATGAAGTATCGTACAAAGGTTAATCGGAAATACTGATAGTATTATTGTAATTGTAAACGTAAGGCTGTTAAACAAGCTACTTAAGCTTTTTTGCAAGTAAACCAAAGCGAGTTTGCAATCGGCCAATAAATGTAAATCGACCACAAATGAATAAAAGGAACTTTATAAAAGCCTTGAGCTTTGTAAAGGGCACCTTTATTATTTACAATTATCTGGCACCATTGAGTGTGCGCTCACAGACTCGTCCTGGTGCAAAAGAGAGGAAACTAAAGTAAATTTGTAAACTGATTAATTGACAAGCACCGAGTTATTTGCAAGAGTAACCAAAAGTTAAGCCATAATTGTTAATCAACCGAAATGATACCACAATTTAAAGGAGTCAAAAGGTTTATTATTTCAAAACATTATTATAATTTAGCTTTAAGAAACAAAATAAGGATAAAATAAAAAGATAAATAAAAAGATAATGAATAAATTTATAATGGAGATTAAATTAGTCATTCGTTGTTTCTTTTCTTTTACTATTGTTACTAGAATTTAATGTTTATTGATTAATTAATTAATATTGTTAGTAATGGATAGCAATTTCCAATTAATTAATTAATAATGAAATTTTTATTCACCTTTGTTAACATTCTAGAGAAAAGAGTTAAAATCAAGATCATTCAATGAACTATCATTACTTGTATGAATTTCAAGGCTCTTAGATTTAGCAATCTCTTCAACCAATATTCTACTTTTATGATATGCACCTGGATGTGATTTGTGTGCTCGTTGCGAAGCACTACTACCACCACCGCTGCTGTTACCATCGTTATTAAAATCAATTTCATGTTTTTTGATTTTTTTGAAAAATTTGAATAATCTTTTTATTAAACTTTTGTTTTTTAAACTTTTAAAATATTCATTATGTTTATTATCAGTAAAATCAAGCAGCTCTCCACTAGTTGGTCTTTTTGATGGATCCACATCCCAACACCTCTGCATCATTTGCACGTAATCTTCAGGCATTCCAGGTAATATTGGTGGTCGTAAGCCTTCTGCACATATATCAAAAATCAAACGATGATTGTGAGCTCTGTCATCAAATGGTGGATGACCTGCAAATATTTCCCACATTAACATCCCAACACTATAGATATCTGTTTCTTTTGTATTCTTTGCATCTTTTTTGCCTCTAAGTAGTTCGGGGGCAACATATGGTACAATTCCATAGACTTTATCTGATGATTTTTCATCAACTGGTCCACATAATCCTAAATCTGTAATATAAAATTTACCTCCTTGCACAAGTATATTACCACTATGTAAATCACAATGAATTAAATCTTTTTTATGTATATCATCTAATGCCTTACATAAATAATCAAAGATTATAATTCTGCCTTCTAATGTTAAACTTAAATGGTTTCTTTGTAAATAACCCTTTAAATTTCCCTCTCGAGAATATTGTAAAACAATTGCATAATTTCCATTATCTGGGACTTTAGTTATACCAAGGCAAGGAACAATCGATGGTATTCTAACTTTACAATAATTCATTGCCTATTAGATATAAAATCAATTAGTATTATATAATACAGTATTGTTTATTTTGTTTTAAATGAATGACAACTACTAACCTCATCAAAAAATGCTTTTCCTGGATTACTTGAATCATTTAAACTTTTTAATACTACATTATGATCACCAAAATAACTAAATTCCTTTTTATTTTCGTCATAATCAATAATACTTCCTCTTGCCCATCTTGCAACAAAAATTGAACTAAATCCACCTTCTGTCAACTTTGTTACATCATAAAATTGCTCAAAAGGTATCCATTCTAAAATATAGTATGGCAGAGATGATTTCATTTGACATTGTTGAACAAAATTATCAACTATGTTATTTCCAGATGTCCAAGTGGTGAAAAGACTCTGCAAATGTAAACTGATACAACCTTCACAGAATCTATCAGAATATCTTGTCAATTTACACTTGTCACATTCTTTTGGTTTTCCCTTTTTATCTCTTGCATTTCCTAGTTCAACCTGATAAATAAGATCTTGCTTACAAAATTCTTTTTCATTTTCAGAAAGCTCCTTGTTTTTTTCAATTAATGAAAAATAATAGTCTTTTATACTTTTTTTGCCAGAATTAGCAGTAGCATTACTATGCAATTCATGTTGAATTTTAAGTACAAAATTTTCCCTTTCTAATGGTAACGATGATAAGAATTTATTATGTGACATTATATAAAAATATAAAATATAAAACTTTGACTTGTTTTAATGAATGGAGATTTTGAGAATAACGGTTATATTATTTCCTTTTTTCTTTGCGGACGTGTAACAAAATTTTTTCGTACAACATTTTTTTTTCGTTGTGTGACTAATACAAATTTAGAAACTATCTCCAAGAATTAAAAATTCTTTCATAGCTATATACGTTGTATAACCATTTTACAAACATGGTCAATTATTTTTTAAATTAGTAAATGTACCCCGCATTTTCTATTAAAATCCCCTGGTTGATAAATGATCTGCAAATTAATTAATTTTGCTAATTAATTTAATAAATAAAAAAATAAATACTTTTTTACTTCTTCTAATGTATTTCTTTTCATATTCATCAATTAAACAAATTTTATATTCAATCATTTTAGATGATTCATACTTTTTTACAAATTCTATCAAGTTTTCTAAAACATTATTCCTTAAATTAATTTGGTTCCTATATTGAATTATATGCTTTTCCAAGAAGTTTAATTTTTTATATGTAGTGCAGGTTCTTGAAATATTGTTTTTGTTGATTAAGGACCAGAATTCAGCCAATTCTTTTTTATATTTTTTCTATTATATTTTTTTAAAAAATAAATAAAAGAAAATCATTTTTAATGAAATAACATATTTATTGCCTCTGATAAGCTTTGTTTATAAATAGAATGTTCTATTTGTTTATTGAAGTAAAAACGCCTTACAAAAGTCTATGTATAAAAAAATTAATAGGACTTGGCGAGTTACTATATAGTCATTTTGAAAAAAAAAATAAATGTTCTTTCTTTTCAAACTATATATATATTTATTTAAAACTGATTGAATTTTTTTTTTGTTAAAGATTATGTTGATCATTAAATAATCTTGTTATTATTTTTAAATCTATATCAACATCAAAAAATAAATAACGCGTAAAACCAAGAAGGTTTAGTTGATCACTGGTTCAATACCAGTGAAAGGTTTAACAAACGGGATCATTGTTATTTTACCATTGTTTATGGTCAATCACTACCTATTACACGTCATATAAATATACTTTTAAAAATATTATGATTTCTACAAGCTCTCGTACCTTTTTTTACATAACTATCCTAACAATCCACTATTGAAGCAACTTTAATTTCCAACTTAAAGAAATATAAAAAAACATATACTATTTTATCTCTTGGATACTATCCAGAAAATACAATATTTACTGTAAAAAATATAAAATTCCCAACAATTATGAAGTTCAAACTATTTTGTCAAAATTTTCTGTTAGCTGTAAAACAACATATTTATCAGAAATAAAGTACAGTTCACTGTAATTTCAAATGATTCCAATATAATTGGAGTTAGCAACATTTCTTCATCAAGTGCAAGGAATGATTTTTTACATGTAGATATTAATCTTCAATTTAAGGATACTGGTTGTGACTATAGTTGTGACATATAAAAATAATCACCATACTTAATTTACCTTTACATTTATTAACAAACTATATAGTAATAAAAACTCCAAATATTAACGATTTCATTCATAAAATAGTAAATGGAAACAAATTTTGGATTGTAAAAAAAAAAAAATCTTTTTAGCACTTTTTTTTATTCGTATTAGATCCTCACAACTTACATAGGATTGGAAAACATATATAACATAGGAAAAACATATATATAGTTGCTTATTGGTTTAAAAATGAAAATAAAATAAAAATTTTTTAAAAACAATTTTGTCACACAAAATTCGGAATTATCACACCTTACTATTATGTAAATGTCCGATTTCAGCCCGTATGAATGAATCAATCACTAGATGAAACTGTAAAATAAATCACGACAAATGTATACATCCAATTCAAGCAGAATGTTAGATGACGATATTACCAAATATAAAAGTTTACAAGATGATTTTGAACTTGCCAGTATCTGAAGTAATTGATCATTCAAGTAGAATATTAGATGATTATATTGCTAAATAGCAAAAGTTTACAAATGATGTCGAACTTGAACAAGTATCTGAAGTAATTGATTGAACATTCAAACAAGATATTAGATGATATTGCTAAATATAAAAGTTTACAAGATTCTGAACTTGGTCCAGTATCTAAAATTGTTTCTGAAATTGATGATAATGAAAGTAATTAAATTTATTACGAACTAAAATTCACTAATTGTTAAATTTTTAATTTTAAATTTATTTGAAGTTTCCTTTTTATTTAATTAAAGTCAAGGATTTTGTTACAACTGAAGGTAGTTATTATTTGATTTCTTTTTATACTATATTTTATATCCTAGATTAAAATTTTTTTTTAAAAAATTAATTTAGAAGTTATGATGTTGGGTGAATTGTCAATGGATGATTTTGTTATTAGAAAATAAATAAATAATAAATAATAAAGTCAATAAATACGATATAATAATAATATTACTCAGCTCAACCCTTTTAATTGTTTTGTATTGCTAATATTATTATTGTCTCTAAATTTTCCATTATGTTCCTTTTTTATAAATAAAGCAGTGGTGGTAGTAGTAGAAGCTGTTATAAGAGGCGGAGAATTAGTTGTTATCGTAACTCCCCATTGAGAATTAAGAAGTGGTGTAGTTGGTGAAGTAGGTGTAAGTGGTAATTTAGATGAAAAATCGTCTAATTCCATTGAATTATTATTCTTGCTGTTAATTTTTTCATCATCATTATTATTATCTAGTTGACGATGATTATAAAGATGATTATGATTTTGATTATGATTATTATTATTGTTACGATCATTATAATGATGATGACGAGCTACATCTAGATTTGGATAGTCTGAAATATCCAATGCCATAGTTGAAATGGATTTGGTAAATGAATTTTTGAAATGAATTTCCATTAACTTAAGAACTTCTTCATACTATTTAAATCAAGTAAACAAGTATTATTAGAAGATTATTTATTTATTTATTTCATAGCTACATACAATATTTAAATACTAACCTTTACAAAATACATTTGATATTCTAAAAATTTTATTTTTCTAGCATCTTCCAATATTCCCATTTCAGAAGGACGAATAGATTTTGGTGGTGCCCATACTATGGATCGTAACAATGGCCAGAGTCGTTCTTTTTCTATTGTTGTGATGAGCCTTCTGGTAAGATTTGGTTGTGATGTTGTTAAAGAATTTACTTTCCATTGCAAAAACAATTCCACCTGTAAATCAACCACAAATAAAGTTGCTGTCGGAGGAATCGTAGGTGTGGTAAGTGGATATCCGGTGCTTGTGGTATCCAATTGAACTGTGTACAACGGTCCTATATATTTATCTGCAAATTCTATTCTTAAATAATCTGGTGTTTGAATTTCCATTGAATCTCGCGGTGGACTAATTGCAAGTTCATCAAATTCTTGTGGTGAATTATTGCCATCATCATCATCATCATCTATCAACATAGCTTCACAGTCAGATGATTCTAATTTTATTTTAGATGTAATTTTCCTTTTATCATCATAATTATCATTGTTGTTATTATTACTATTACTAATATTATAATTATAATTATTATTCCTACTACTCCTACTACTCCTACTACTCCTACTACTCCTACTACTACTAGCACTAATACTACTACTGCGACTATTGCAACTACTAACACCACCAATACTATTATCACTAATAATAATGTTATTATTATTACAACTGGTTGGAATTAAGTAGTCTTTTGGATTCAAATCAAGAACTTCACATAACAACTCAACAATGTCTTTTCTGCGCCTAGCCAAATCCAAAGGTGTTTTACCATCAATATTTTTACCATCAGGTTGAGCGTTGTTTTGTAACAGTATTTTTACAACTTCGATATGACCTTTATGAGCAGCATCATGAAGTGGTGTATTTAATTTTTTATCTTTGACGTTTATATCTGCATCAAAAGCAAGTAATATTTCCATTGTTGTGTTATGACCCTCTGATGCAGCTTCGTGTAATGGAGTACGACCATGATTGTCAGTTCCGTTGATCATAGCACCTGCCTCAATCATGTTTGCAACCATTTCTGCATTACCTCTTTTGGCATGAATATGAAGGTTACTACGTCCGGATGAGTCTCTACTTTTAAGATCCATCCTAAGAACATCGTTAGCAGAAACAATTGCCCTTGCACCATTATTATGTAAATCACCTTCACGAATTTTACTATCTCGGAGTGAGACTCTTCTACGAGTAGTTTTTTGATTTTCAGATCTTTTAGATAAACCACTATCTTTGATGATATCTTCTTGTTTAATTCTAGGTCTACCACGTTTACCCGAAATCAATGACGTTCTTCTGCTATCATAATCTTATAAAAATTAAATAATAAAAGTAATAAATAAACAATTAAATAATTTAATTTGTTAAAAATTAATAATAACGATCAATAAATACCTTCACCCGTTATATATAAAGAAGGTGAGTATCTTTGTGATGAATTATAATGTATGATTTCAGGTATTTTTACATATTCTACTGGAGTTTTTAATAATCTAATGATACTTTCCTCGCTAGAATGATCCTCAGGTTTTTCTTCTTTTGCATTTGCTTTATCAGGATCAGCACCATATTCTAATAATGCACATACAACATCATAATGACCTTTAGCACACGCGTCATGAAGTGGAGTATCACAATCATCAAGTGATGCAGCATTAGCATCAGCACCATTTTCTAAAAGATAATATACAATTTCCAAATGACCGTTAAGAGATGCTTCATGAAGAGAAGTCCAACCTGCATGATCACGAGCATTTATATCTGACCCTCTTTTTATTAAATCCTTCGTCCTTTCCATATTCCCAGACTGACAAGCTTTATGTAAATTAGTTTGACCTGCTCTATCTCTTGCTAATACATCATTTTCGTCGATACCTTTTTTTTTACCAGTAGGTCTTTGATTATTATTATTATTATTATTATTAGCAGTAGTGCTATGATTCATGTTATTGTCATTGTTTATACTATTTATATAATAATTGTCCTTATAATTTTGTTTTTTTGAAGCACTATTATTAGATTTATTTCTACCAAGCTGTAGTTCTTGTTGTTTCTTTTGACCTGCCGGTCTACCAGGTCTTCTACTTCCTTTTGTTTTATTATTGCCACTAATCTTATTATTGTAATAATAATAATTGTTACCATTGTTATTAGTTGTCTGTTTAATATCTTTATTAGGAATATATTCTTCGTCACTTGTTTTTGATAATGAAATTCTTTTAGAAGGTCTTCCGCGCTTTTTTGGTTGCGAGTTCTTATTTTTATTATTCTTACTATTACTTGTCCTATTAAAACGATGATAATCATAATCATCGTCATCGTCGTCATCATCATCATAATCACTACTACCACTACCACTACCATTACTATCACTATTAATAATATCATCATCATCATCACTATTACTATTAGTAATATCATTATCATCATCATCATCACTACTATTACTACTATTACTGCTACTACTACTAGAGTCTTCATTAGAATCAACAGAACTTAATTCAGAAACATCATAAAAATCATCATAACCATCAAATGAAGAATTAGATCTCATGCGTTTCATGTTGTTGCCGCAACCATTACTATTACCATTTGAATTAATAGATTTTTTTATATTTTCATTGTTATTATTACTATTAATGTTGATAATGTTGTTGTTGCTGCTGTTGCTGCTGCTGCTTGATGATTCTTCTTTTTCCTCGTTTCTACGTCTTAAATATTCATCTTTTTCTGTTTCTGAACAATCACCTCTAGTTGTCGCATAACCATCTTCTGAATCAACCATATCAATTTCATAACTATTTTTTCCTCCCATTTTTATCTTTTTTCTTTAATTATCAATATTTAATTTTTTAAAAAAATGTATAAATATATTAATAACTATTTTTAAAATAAAAAAATAAAGTTATTAAAATAAAGCAAGATACCTTAAATAAAAATAAATTTTTTTTTAAATGTTTTGCCTGTGAAAAAATTTTTTAAAAAATAATCAATTTTAAATCCTAAAAAATATATTAATAAATATTATTATTACTTTTTTATTAATAAATTGCTCTAATATCATATATATTATTTTGTGAATAATTAATATCTTTTTTCTTAATGTTGGAAATAATATAAAATACAAAACCTTTACTAATTTACGAATTTCTTTTTTTTTCCCTCCCACTCTTTCTTTCTTCTCTTTCTTCTCCTTTTTTTTTTTGAATTTTTTGGATTTAGCTTCTTTATTTTTTTACAAGTAAAAAATTTTTTTTTAGAAAAAAAAATTTGAACAGTTGTTGTAGAAAAGAAACATTCGATTGGAACTACATGTATAATAAAAATATTTATTATAAAAGGAAAACGGCAGAGTTTAGTGTTACGTAATACATTGTTTAAATTGATTGGTTGATATTTATAGTCTAGAATTACCATTTTTGGTCACGTGGTTTTTGATGTTAAATTAAACTTTATTACGTTACTCAAAAAAATTACTGAACATTTGATCTCATTGCCTGCATTGGCTAAATTATGATGATCATTTATTTCCAATTGTCACTAATTTTATTGGCTCGATGATTCTATTATCAAATTTTTATATTATATGACATTCTAATACTAAATAAATATATTAATATGATTATTTATTATTTATTTGTTTTCGTTATTATTTCTTAATGTCATATTTATTTTATTTCTTTAATTGTTGGACAGTAGTCTTAATATCTTCTCTTTTAATAATTTAATGTTAAATATCTACCTACTCTTTGTCTTCACCATTAAATCATTTTTACTACTCGTTGTCTAGTAGGCTTGTCAATGCTTGTTGCCTTCCTACTTTTAAATAATATAAATAACCTATATATATACAAGAAAACACATGTAATCTTTCTATTACATTACCTTCTTATATTATGTGCTATAAAAAAGAATTATATAATTTATATAAATTATAAAATTAATACTTCTTTCTAAAGTATATTACCATATAAATGAGAATGCAAAAATAAAATTTTACCACTCACTACCTATTATTATTGTAATAAAAGAGTTGATCATAAGAATATTCAATCATTCTTAACATTACAATTAATGTTCACAACGATACTTATAAAAAAGTAAAGGAACAATTCTGATGTGTGTAGATCTCTGAAACCTTTAAAGTTTTACTTCTAATATAACCTTTCAAAATCAAATTGATCAAATTGTCCAAATTGAAGAGAAGTAAAACAAATATTATTATTACCTGTGAAAAAAACGGCGCCCATTTTTATCGTATGTTTCACAACATAAAAGATTGAGTTTTTAAAATATATCACGCGTAAAAAATTTCAGCCAATAAATATAAAATTTAAGAAAATTATTATGGTTTATCGACTGATCTACACATAAATAATGGGGTTTTTTATTAATTAATTAAATATTAAATTTAGGGATGTTTAAACAGTTTTACTCAACGGCTAAACCAAGCTAAATATGGTTGAACCATCGATCGAATCATTTAAATGACAGATAATCAATCAATCTGGGGTTTTAATTTTTAATTTAATAAATTATATCGATTGTACTAAAATCGCGGTTATTAAATTAGCCAATCATATTTATCAACCACAGTTGTTAAAAATTGACCAATCACATTTTAAGTATATGATCGACAGACTGCACGGTTTTTAAACCGACCCAACCATTTAACATTAAATTAGGGCCTTTTTTTTTTTCATAACCAAAATCATTTTAAAGATGCAGGTAATGTATGTGGTGATTCTTTTTTACCATTCAGAATTACAACATATTTATCAAATATACGTTGAAATTGTTTTAATTGTCTTTTATTCATTCTATAAGGAATTTCTAATTTACTTGATTTCATTAAAACATTAAAATTATTTTGAAGTTGTCCATTTGTATCATTTGCAATATTATCAACATTGAAAATTGATTTTAAAATACCAGCATCAGAATCAATATATCTTCAATTTACAATTTTGTGATCTCTCATCAGCAAATATCTAACACTGATAATAATATCATCTTCAAAAATATTAAATTGTTTCCAACATTGCCCAAAAGATTCCAATTTATTATGATATTGGTATCAGCATCTACTCCAGATTCATGAACATCTTCAACATTTAATTCATCTAACATTAAAACAATTTTATTTTTTATTCTGGTTCAACATATAAATATACTTATTCAACCAATGATTGATCATTATAATATAAATAGATAATATTATATCGCTGATAACTTGAAGAATATTAAAACACAATTTTCATTGTTATATGCTATACTTTCTAAAACAACCTTATTGCATTACAATTAATTTACTGAATGTTATTTAATATGGATCGCATTTTTTAATTCTTAACACTACGAATAAAGGTAGGCCGTATTATGTCGATCATCCAAATTTATTTTTATGTAACAATTCTTTCTAATTGTATATACATTTTTGGAAAAGAAAAATGATAAAAAACTGCACGTTAAAATAAATAATAATAATAATAGTCGCGTAACAATTGTTGTGCGTGAAAATGAAATTTTGTAATTTACACATGCGAAATTCAAATTAGCCAATCAGAATTTCATATCCAAACACCCCACCCCAGAATTTTAATATTTTTTTGGAAAAGAAAGAAACGTTATTAGTAATATTATTATTATGTAATAAATAATATATTGCACCATTTAATGGATAATTGATGATTTTTAATTATATTAAATCAACTGTTATACTATTATATTTTTTTAAATATAATAATAATAATAATAATATGTAATGGAGTTAATAACACTAAATTATAATTTACTAATTATAATCAATTTTAGTTGGTCTCACTTTTTACTTTCCATTCTCTTTCATTTAGCCCTTAATGCGAATGTAGCTTTATTTCAATTAAAATGGGATTCTGGCTATTAATTAATTTTCTTATGATAATTAATATAAAGAGAGGTTGCATAAATTATATAGACCGGTATGTGGAATAGTAATTTGTGCCCTCCTTTTTAATTACGATCCATGTCCAATGCCAACCTGTTTAAAATCACCACCAAAGGTGGTGGTAAATCTGAGTGGTTTCAATGGTTATTAAAAGAAAATTATAATTTATATATGATAACATTTAAGATTTTGGTTTAAATTTAAATTAAATATTTCTAATTAAATTAAATATTTCTAATTAAACTAATTATTTCTAATTAAATTAATTATTTCTAATTAAATTAATTATTTCTAATTAAATTAATTATTTCTAATTAAATTAATTATTTAATATATAAATAAATGTACAATTAAATTTCAATTTTTCTTCTTTTTACTTAGTGAAAATGGTTCATTAAATGTCTCAAAAATTCTTTTGACCTACAATGAAAAATATATAAAATATAGTAAAATAAATATATTAATTCCTTCCTCATTTTTCCAGTTAATTTATTATTACCTTTTGTTCACCAATTCCTGGACACAATCCAATTTCATCAGATGGCATTGACATCAACCTTTTCAATGACTATGATTATCACCACCAACGTCAAACCAATTAATTGATTCATTAATATAAAATCAAATAGTATTTATATTTTAACTTTTTATAAAAAAAAAAAGGAAAATCCTTACACGTGCTGATGAAGCAAGTGTTATCACATCTGTTTTATTAACTGATTTTATTTGCGTCATGCAATGAGTTAACTATCAATAATAAATTAACAATAAATTAATATTATATAATATATTAATACCAACTGTATTAACATTAGATATAATTAATTACCCTTGACAAATAATCATCTTGAACTTTTTCCATAATCATATCTGGTGGCTTATACTCAAATGATTTATAAGTTTCGAGGTATCTTCCTGCTTCTTCTTGACTTTTTAAATTGTTAATTTTTTTGGAAAAAAAATAAATTTATTTTTATTTAATTCAAGATCAATCATTCATAATTAATTAATTTCAATTTTTTACCTCCAAGCTAATATCACAGTAAAATTATTAATTACACAAACTTTGCTAAGTTCACGAATAGAATCTTGATGAGAATCCTATTTACATCATATAAAAAAAAAGAAAAGAAAATTTAGCAGCAGGACAAAAAATATAATAACATTAAGCAAAAAAAAAATCTCATTTTGGTTGCCAATTTCCTAGCAGGACCCAACCCTCTCTAAAACCAATAAATGAATTAATTAGTGAAATGAAATAATAATACTATACTATATCAACTAAAACCAAAAGTATTCTTAATAGATATTTGTATTTCAATTGTTGAATTCTATTATAAATATATTCAGGATGAAGTCGATGATATCTAAGGCTAAAAAACAACAGTAATATTAATATTATTGTATTAATAATAATCATCATTGTCATCATTATGATTATCAATTGATATTATATCTCACCTTAGAAATAAAGCACACGTTGTTTGTCCTAGAACATAATCTGGTATACATTCACCATATTCCCAAGTAACATTACAAATATGTTGAAGTATTGGATTACCTCTCTTCAATATTAATAATTTTTTTTGCAAAAAGATTATTTTTTTTTTTCTAAAAATTATAAAGATCATTAATCGAGACATTTACCTGACATCCATTAACGATTATCTTACCAGTTGATGAACCACCCCTAACAGGAGTAGTTCGTTTACCAGTTACAAAATTACCTTTATCTAATACTTCTCTCGCACATTTCTCGATATGATCAAAACGTGCCGGACCAAGCATAACTCCTCCATACCATCTAGAAACTATAATTACCACATTTTTAACATCCAATGATTTTAATAAATTTAAAACTCGGTTTCCTGCATATTTTTCACCATCATCAATAAATTCTAAAATAAAAATAAAAATAAAAATTTATACTTTATAATTAATATTTTTCTTTATGCGTTATGCACACAAAGTTCTCTAATTCCCAACAAAAAAAAATTATTATTAACCTTCAATTGTTGCTCCATCATTGTCTTTCATTATTCTATATGCTAAGATGTTATGTGTTGCAGTATTATTTTCTCTTTCCATTTCATCCTTAAACAGTTCGACTTGTTGCTTATTTTCTACGCGTTTTGCATATGCTATAAATACACTTTTACGATCTTCGATTTGTTCACTCTTATAAACTCCATTTCTTACCACCACTGTTGATACTATTGGTCCTTCAGATTCTGAAACGTTGTTTTTATCATGATTATTACTAATGCTATCTAGAGAATCCGCGCTTTTTTTTACTTGTTGAGACATTTTTTTTTTTTTTAAATATGGAAGAAATAATCGTGCATGTGTTTGCAATACAAACAAATCAATATAAAATAAATAGTTCAGCCGAAGTAAAGGTTACAACTGATATTATCACATTGACAAGACATGTTCTTGATGAACAACATAAACACAAAGATACAGGTGGCGATTTGACCACATTGTTAAATGCAATTCAACTTGGTTGTAGATTTGTAGCTACTAATGTTAGAAAAGCTAGACTTTGAATTTGTAAGTAATAAATAACAGCAATTAATAGTAATTAATAATAATTGACAATAATTGATATATATATATCATATGTAATTTATGAATTGAAACCAAAGAATTATCTTCTTTTCCCTTCCCAAATAATTCAGAATTGGACTTGCAGGTGATTCAACAAATATTTCAGGTAAAGAACAAAAAAAAATAGGGATGTGATTTCCAATGAGATTTTGTTGATACATTTTTTTCATCTGCTGTAAATGGTTTCGGAAGGACGAATATTCAATCATTGTTGACTGGACGGTATTTGATCTGACGCTGGTAGTAACTATTTGACGTAAGGACAATTAATTAATAATCATTAATTTGTTGACAATTACATATGATTTTGTTTTTTTTATCTTTTTAGGCAATTGGAAAATTTATTCTTACTCATCCTAATGTAAACATTAATACATCTAATTAATCTATCCATTCAGTTAGTTGATTTACTTATTCCTCGCTCAACTAAGACAAATCAGAAATCTATCTCGTGGAAAAATATATTCAATAAATGAGGGAAATGAAAAATATTGGTATGAGCCATGCAAGAAATATTTCAATTCACTCAAATATCCGCCAGAGGGTAAAGATCCTTATTCAGCTCGTTACATTGGTTCAATGGTTGCTGATGTTCATAGTACTCTGTTATACGGTGGAATCTTCGCATATCCAACTGACAAAAAATCAAAAAATGGTAAGCTTCGTATCTTGTAAGAATGTTTCCAAATGGTCTTTTTAGCTGAACAAGCTGATGGCAAAACTACAGATGGTAGAAACGAATGCTTGATATCGTACCGGAATGTCCTATTTTCTTGGGCAGTAAAGATGATGTTGAAGATATAGAAAATTTTATGCCGATTTTTCAAAGATCTAATAAGAAAAAATGACAAACAAAAAATAAAAAAATTGGAAATAAAAAAAGGTGAAGGTTTGAAATGAAAAATTTTAAGTCTGAATAGCGGCATTAGATCTCTTTTACTTGACGATAATAAAGATGAATCTGTAATTAAGTTTGTTCTATATAAACATGCTTAATTATTTAAGGGCAGAGTATTCTTATTAAAAAACTTTAGATGGTATTATTTTTCTTGTTTGAATATATATAAAATAGAAAGATGAAAAAGTTAGTATAGTCGTTTTATACATAACTTTTGAGTTCGAAATAAAAAGAAATTGCAAATTTAACATAGACGTTCACGAGTTTAAAATATATATCTTAATGTGTGGAGATGGACATATAAATTTATATATATATGATCGTTAATTCTTTTACACAATAATATACTTTAGGTCTATACCTTACCGTGTAATTTCAGGTTTATACCTTCAATTGGGAAGTCAATAACGAGTAAACGATATTTAGCTTAAAGATCATGTTGGTCTTAAACATATTTTTAAATCACGAACTACTTGTCAGGATATGACACGCAATAAAACGCAGTACTTGGGTAATTGGTCAAATTAAAACCTTTCTGTTAATTAACAAGTATGGCTGATGATGGCTTAAGTTTGGGCTGCTCTTATCAGTTGATACACAATAATTATGTGCTTGTCAATTAATTAATTTACAGATTTACTTTGGTTCTCGCTTGCTATCTCTTTCTTGTACAGTCAAACCTTGTTATAATGGACCTTGTTACAACGGATGTTATATATTTAAAATACTAACTTGTAGCGAATTTTGTATGTTTTTAAATTCATATTTATTATGTTGCAATGCGTCTATTAATATTTGGTAAAATTAAAAAAATTTTTTTAGGAATAGTTCCGATCCAAGAGATTAATTGGAAAATTCTTTAGTATTGGATCGTATTTCTGAATTATTCCAAAATGCTTTAAGGTTATTTTGGTGAAATCATCATTCGTCTATGCAGTCAGTACCTGTTACTCTTGACAAGACAAAAATAAAAGACATTTTTTATTAAAAAAGAAAATTTTAGAGTATCAAGAGGCATTTTAATTTCTTTTCAAACAAAATAATTAACAATGAGAGGTTTTCATTGTATTGGTTAATAATTGTATAATACTGATATTAAAAAAAAGAGATATTTGTTGAAAAAAGAATGATAAATCTATTTATTGAAAATGCATACTAATTTAAAAGTTGTTTAGAAATACTAAAAAAAATTCCAAGTTCAACATAGCAATACGCCTCCAGTATAGTATTATATATACTGTCAACCTCTTCTAAGTGCACCCCTTGGGAAACATATCACCATCACTCATGAGCGTGCATTTCGAGAGGGTGCACACGAGGGTGTTGACTGTATATTATGGGCATGTACTATACTATAATACACACTTTCTACACACCATTCAAAATGCATCCTTTAAAATTTTTTAAACAAAAATCTCAGATCAATCAAATGTCTACATGCATCTTTATATTTTCTTGTATATAAAGAAATAAAACTAAATCGGAAGAATGGTGCATAGTAATGCATAGTAGCAGCAATGCATGGTAATGCAACACAACGCAATGAAAGTGAAGCATTTTTAGAGAAACCAAATATTTCTCGTACAACGCAAATTGATAATAATTAATTTGTGAAATTTAGAAAGAGACAGCAAATTTTAGAGTTTTTTATTATTAAATCTAGAATTATTTATTTACTATTTAAAAGAATAAATCATAATTTCTAGAATTAATTTTTAAAAAACTTTAATCCGGGATATAAAATACAGTATAAACTAAATAACAATAACATCTTGCTTCAAATGATATTTAATTAATAAAATAAATTATTATAAATAAAAAATAATAAATAAAAAGGAAAGACAAACCAAATTTTTCATTTCTTTACTTAAACACTACTGTATGTTGCCTTGATTCCATTACACAATCATTTCGTTAGTCTCATTAATTTCACCAACTACATACATCATTTCATACATTATTTCCTTTGGCATTATTATTGTTACTAGAATCTAATTTTAATTGAAAATTAAAATTCAGTAAAAAATTAACAATTAATGAATTTCAGTTGATTAATAAAGTTTAATTACTTTCATTATCATCAATTTCAGAAACAACTTTAGATACTGGACCAAGTCTTGTAAACTTTTATATTTAGCAATATTATCATCTAATATTCTGCTTGAATGATCAATTTCAGAAATTACTTCAGATATTGGAGCAAGTTCAAAATCATTTTGTAAGCTTCTATATTCAATTTCAATTACTTCAGATACTGGACCAAGTTCAAAATCATATTGTAAACTTTTATATTTAGCAATATCATCATCTAATATTCTGCTTGAATGATATGCCAATGGATGTGATTTTTGTATTTGTTGTAATTTATTATTTGTAGAAATTATAGTTTCATCACTTAAATATTCAATTTTATAAACTTTTATTTCAAAATCTTCAGCAAAATCTGAAAGCTCTCCAATAGTTGGTCTTTTAGATGGATCAACATCCCAACATTTTTGCATCATCTTTGCATATTCTTTTGGCATATTTGATAAAATTGGTGGTCTTAAACCTTTACAAATTTCCATAATTAAATGATGATCATGTGCTCTATCATCAAAAGGTGGATATCCTGAAAACAGTTCCCACATCAACATTCCAATGCTATATACATCTGATTCTTTTGTGCTTTTGCTTTTTTTTTTGAAAAATTTCAGGTGCAATATATGATGTAATTCCATATATTTTGTTTGATGACTCATCATCAACTGGTCCACATAATCCCAAATCTGTAATAAAACACCAATTTCCTTGGACCAATATATTACCACTGTGTAAATCACAATGTATTAAATCTTTTTGATGTATATCATATAATGAGTGACATAAACATTCAAATATTGTAATTCTATCTTTTAAAGTTAAATTTGAATGATTTTTTTGCAAATAATCTCTTAAATTTCCTTCTGGAATATAATTTAGAACTATTGCATAGCCTCTGTTTTCTGGGAATTTAGTTATACCATAACAGGGAACAATCAATCCAGATTTAATTTTACAATAATTTAATGCCTGAAAGATTATATGAAAGTCAATTAATGTAATGTTTAATATAATATTTTTTTTTTAATTTAAAATAATTTACTACTGACCTCATCAAAAAATTTTTTCCCTAACTCATTTGAATTATTTAGTAGTTTTAATGCTATACCTTGAGATCCATGATAAATAAATTTTTTTTTATTTTCATCATAGTCAGATATATGCCCTCTTCTCCATGTGGCAGTATAAATGCTACCAAAACCTCCCTTAGTTAAATATTCCACTTTTTCAAATTGATCAAATGGGATCCATTCCATAATTTGTGTAGGAAGAGATGAGAGCTTTTGACATTCTTGAATAAAATTATCAATGATGATGTTTCCAGATGACCATGTATTAAAAAGCTCTTGTAAATGCAAACAAATACAGTTTTCACAAAATCTTTCCGAATATCTGTCTAATTTACAATTAAGACATTCCTTTAATTCGCCAAATTTATAATTTGCATTATCTAATTCAAAATCACAAATAAATCTTTCTTTACAATATTCCTTTTCATTTTTTAAAAGTGATTCATTTTCAGCTACTAATGATAAAAATGTAGCCTTTTGAATTTCTCTGAAAGATGTGTTTGATGAAGTATCATTTGCAATCTGTGTAGCATTATTAAGTAATTCAGAATAAGTTCCAAACACAAAATTTTTTCTGTCTGATGATAATAAATTGTGAAACGACATTTTTTTTTTGATTATGATATATAGTAGATTTAATCAAATTTTACACTATATTATATATTATATATATAAAATGAAACCCCGTTTATGGAGATATAAAAAGAAAATATAGAAAAGGAATTATTGAAACTATTTTACATTTTTGGAGTCCCGATAAAGAAAGCAATTTCTATAAAAAGAAGATGTGAATCGGTTTCGAAAAAAAACATTGGTTCTTTTAAATGAAATAAATTTATAATATTTTTTTGTGTTAAATATTCTTTTTAACCTACATATTACCTAATACTTGCACATCGACACAGTGATCTATAATTAAATTCTTATGCTATACAAAAATGAAACATGCTATTTTTAATCCATATTTGAGTTATTAGCGGAGAATCAGGAAGTAAAATTGGGACATATTAGAATGAAAAATATCATGTGCCCATCACATATGGTTTAGAAAAATATACTATAAAATGATAATATTTCGAAGGTTGCCATTTGTGGCGTACCAATTGTTAATAAGTACAAAAAAAAGTCTAATTTGATGATGGATCACCTGAAATTTCATCTACAAATATACTTGAAAATATTAGTGAAGTTCCAACATGTTGTGATTCTGAATATATATAATTCATGGAAGCGATTAAGTGAATCGAACAAAACCAATTACACTATAACCCTTGTTTCAACGGATTATAATTAAATTCGCGTTTCAATGGATTTTAAAAATCTTTGTTACCATTACACATTATAGAAACGTATAAAAAATCCGTTGAGACGCGATTGGTAATTTCGTTTCAACGGAAATTTTCTTATATAATATGTGTCCAGTCACTCCGTTGAAACGAGAGTTATACTGTTATTCATTTACATCATAAAGATAATAGAAATGATAGACAGGATGATGGGCATCTTCTTGAGCCATTTGACGAAGTTACAAGTTCTTTGTATGCAACAATTTCATCGATATTATCAATTGTTGAAACATTAAAGATTTAGGAGAAGAAGGAGATGATATTGATAAATTTGAAATTACGTTATATTTTATATAGAAAACATAGAAGAAATTCAAATCATGAAAATTTAGGTGATTCAGAATTTGACGAAACTAATCGTGAGCCAGTTATCAGATAATGAGCCAAAAAGAAGAAATTACAATGAGCTAAATTTCAAATTAAACACAAATAATGAATTACTCGAATCATTTGCAATAAAAGAAAAAGTAAATGAGGTTTATAATTATCTTGATGAAAATATCACAGAACAAGCAGGACAATACTGACACTTTTTAAGTGGTGGAATGAGAATTTCCTATATCGGCAATATTAGCGCATAAATATTTATCTCTTCCGGCCGCTTTAAATGCTGGAAATAACATGACCATGAATAATTATCTTTCCATCCTAACATTCATGTCATTAGTTAGCAGTAATTAATTACAAATATTTGTATCTACTATCGAAGGCAAACTGTTGGTGTATTAGTGATTTTTTTCATGAATGATTAGTTTCTTTTAAATCAAATAAACATCAGTTAGTTACATTTTATGACGACAATGACAAATAAATATTTACATTGAAGTTCATAATGATAAATAGTCTATATATTTATTAAATATAAATAAAGGTATGAATAATTTATTTCTTTCTTTCTTTGATTTCTCTTCTAATAATAATAATAGCAATGTTTTTCCCACCAGAGTTATTAATAAATATAACCTTGTATATTTATCATGGAGATGAAGAAGATCAAAAACTGGGCACGATCAATTATAAAACAGGATTTTCGTGTATTTTAGTGAATATAGACATTGGTGCAGAATTGGTATCCCTATACTTGGTCATCGTCCATTATTCAAAATTTCTTGATTCTATAAATTATGACGAAAAGGAATTCTTGGTTTTATTAAACAATTATAATGATGATTATGATGATTATTTCCTCATTTCAAAGAAATTTAATAGTAATCCAATAAATTTTCTTATTTTTAACCATCCTTCATTTTTAAAGATAATTGATGTTGGTCGTCAATCAATTTATGACCGGCATCTTCAACAACGACATTTCCACCATCATCACATTCAACAACCACCACACAAATCAAAGTTTCGACGAATTGGACTCTAAAATATCTTTTGACAAAAATCGAATTTCACAATGCAAATGACGAATCGTTTTTTGGTAAAAATTTACAAGTTATTGGATTTATAATTGTGGAAGATTAGCAAGGAATTGATTTCTGAATCAATTAAAATCGAATTTATAAAATGATTGTCGTTAATACAAATTCCCGAAGAATTAATGGATTGGAGTAATTTCATGAGTAAACGAGTTAAACTTTATTTTTACAAAATAATTAAATTAAATTACATTATATAATATCAATCAAACAACCAATCAATTAAAGAAAGGGCTTTTCATTACTACTAAATTTGTTCTTCCCATTAAAATGATTATTTATTTTTTTGCGAGGTTTTGATATTGATAACGATGTTAAATAATTTGTTAAAGTATTATTATTATTATTATTGCTACTACTACTAATAGAAGCAACTGTGTCATTTGATTTGTGATAATCATTACTATTACTGCTGTTATAATCTTCATCATTTCCACTACAACCAACGCTCTCATCATCGTCGTCATAATCATCCTTAATATCATCATTTACATTGAAATCGTAACAAAAAATTCTCCCCCGAGAACATCCAGCCACGATTCTTTCCTCGTCAATGCTTAACGCAACAAATACTGTATTTATTATATTTTCCAAAGATGTACTAGTAACGACAGATGGTGAAGTATCTGGTGATGATAATAAAAAATTAGAACTATAACTACTGTTATTACTATTAGCAGCAGTGTTGGTTGTGGTAGATGAGGAAGATGATGAAGATGATGACGACGACGACGATATGGCAAGGAATGGAGATGGAAGAAGTGATGAAGCGAGAGAAGGTGATGGAAGACAAGACGATGAAAGTGATGGAGAAAGAGACGGAGAAGGTGATGGGGTTAAAGATTTTATAATACTATTATCCATGTCATAAGGTCCTTTATTTGGATTATAAATCAATAATTTACTTTTTGCAGGATAAGAAAGTAAAGATCCAATTATTCCATGATTGTATTTAGAATCGATTCCAACACATAATATTTTGTGTAGAAAATCTTCATTTTTATAAAGTATCTTTGGTTCCTTTGAAAATATTTCTCTTAATTTTTCTTCCTCGTCACCATCTTCATTTTCCATCAAATTTGTCGTTGATGATGTCATATTAAAATCCCATCTCAAATGAAAAACTGATCCTTGTGGTGCAATGCATAATATATCACATTTAGCACCACTGTAATAATCAATTGTACATGAACTAATCGATGTTTTTAGGATGGTGGATTTGTGAATACATTCATGAGTTTTCACATTAAAAACTTCAATAATTCCATTTACTGATGAAACTGAAATTACCATGTTATTACCAACAAGTTGAATCCCTGCAATCTGCTTATTTTTTATTTTTATTTGGAGGGAAATTTGTTATTATTAATAATAACTTTTTAAAAATAATTACACTTGTTATTTTATTATACAAACATACCCGATCATTAAATACTTCAAATTGTGCAATTTTTCTTTCATCTGCCAATGAAAGCACATGAATGATTCCTTTATGTGTACCCAATGCAATAAGTTCTTCATTCATTGAAATACATTGAGTTCCAACTTGATTATGATTATCAGTGAATTTACCAAGAAGCTCTCCATTAGAAAGTGAAAATATTTTGTATCCAAATTCACTAAAAAAATAACCCATTCATATAAATAAATATGCAAAAATTGTAAAAGTGCAAAAATATCAAGTTAAACATTACCCAAAACATGGACCACAAACAATTATATCTTTTTGTTCAGAAAAATCAACACAATTGATGGCCACTCCAACATCAATGGTTCTTTTACGTTTACCAGTTCTCATATCCCAAACACATATATGATTATTTGATCCCGTGATTAAAATATCTCCTCTTAATTTCAAAGTTGTTATACTGTTGTTGTGAGCTCTAAAACTCATTACTTTTGTGGCAGATCCTTTCAACCAATTAATTTGTAACCTATAGAACCTTTCCCAACTATTTTTGGTTGATCTTGTTCTTGGTGGCAGAGAATCAGGCAAGAATAGTAATCGGCTATGATGTTGCCATATCATATCGTCTAATGAAAGTCTATACCAATTTTTCGATACCTATTTATATGTGTGCGTGTGTGTTCTTGTGCTTATTAGATTATTATTATTATTAATATGATATATTTTTATTTATTTACCCTTCTACAAAGACATATCGTTGAAACTGAAAGTTCAATAAATATTTTTAGCCATATTTCATCTGATAATTTGTTAAAAGGGTCATTTTTCTTTGAAGCTAATGTTGCTAGTAATGATGTTGGTGATGAATTATATTCCATTCTTTTAATTATTATATTATTATTTTTATTTTTTTTTCGGAATTTAGAATTATTGTTCATATATAGTAACTTTACTGGTGATCAAAAATTTTTGTTACATTAGTATATATTAGGTATGGGTTCCTGCGACGAATAATATACTAGGTCAAATCTGACGATTAAATTACCAAACAAGGCAATGACTTTCATACAATAAAAATCCCTCTTTGGAAATTCTTTAAATAACAATTTGTTATTATTATCGAAAAGGAATATAATGAAAATAACGAATAAAAAAATAAAAGCCTTTTAACCAGTGTTAAAAGCCCCCCTCACATTCAACACTTGAAAGAGGAATTGAATAAAGAAAATTCTCTGTAGACAAAAATTGATCCGAGTTAATAATTTTAATTGGTTCAGCTGAATTTTTAGATATACCATAATAATAATAATTGGTAACTCTTCGTCAAAATCATCATTTTATATTGACATTTTGATGGCCACTAAAAATTCCATCGTTTCCATTACTGCATTATTTTCATCTTGGAATGTTCTGACATATGACCCAATATACAAAAAGTCAAATACTTTCGTTCAAAAACTACTACACGACTATCTCCTTTGTCATCACTAAGATTTGTAAATTCGAAAGTCATTAAGGTGTTAACTATATCGTTCGTTGTAAGTAATAATAGATATAATAGATAATAACGGTAAGTAAAATTTAATGGTAAAATAAATTTATTGGTGGAATAAAATTAGAATCTCGTATATAGACCACTGGATATATTAATATCCCTTTTTCGATCGATCGTCACTCAATAATAATAAGGTGATATGTGTAGATCACACCAAATATTAATATGCAAAAATTATATACTATTACAAAAGTGACCGTGACACCGAAAATTTTATCACTAATTTCTTGGCTCTCTTTCTTATTATTTACTATTTATGCACAAGAAAATATTGATATCGGCACTTTTCTCATTTGGAAAATTAAAAATTTTAAATTTCAAAAGGCAGGTTATTTCTATTTGGAGCAGTGATACAGGTCAAATACAAAGGTTTTAGGTAAGTATATTACACAATGACCCATTGCCATTTTTACTCGTCAGGTTATTATGTTTTTCATTACTATTACTACTTATGAATTTAGAAAGAACGTTTAACGTCAAGTGTATTACAATATTAATATATGAGTCATTTTTATTTATTTTGATTCAGCTAAAATATATAACACAGTAGGATTAAAAGTACCCAAGCGATTTCATGGGAGGAAAATACTTGACCCCCAAAGCCATTTTATTCGTTAGTCACTTTGGTAAAATCTCTATATTATATTTTTCTTCTATGCAATTGCTCTGGGGATTTCCTATCTTGTATAAATCTTTCTATGCATTGAATCAAAATAAAAATAATTTAACCCTTTCTTTGTGTGCTTGTTACATATCTTTTGTCTACATAACAAACATAACAAATCTCTTAGTACTAACAAATAAACAAAATAAAATAAATTGCATCGTAATATTACTAACGATGTATAAAACGAAACTTTTAAGGAAAAAATTTGAGCCTATTCGGGTCTCTGGGATTCCCCCAAAAGTTATATTTTTTCGATTGCATATAATATAATTGCAAGCCATGAAAAAAAGTAAACAAATCTAACCCATGTTAAGCTTAGAGATGTCAGGTTTAACATGATTGACATTTTTATGTCTATACAGGGCCAATTTATTGTCTTTTCGGGATGAGCTTCATAAACATTCAACAAGCTCTTTGAAAAAGGGAAAGAACAAAAAGAACTTCGCAGTCATCCTGCATTTTCACATTATATTGTACCCTTCAGAGAGCAGGGATCAGGTTAGCCTTTTTTTTTTTTTTTGAAAAATTGATGAACCCAAAATATTTTGATATTAAATACATCCAAAAAAATTCATCAATAGGCTCTCAAAAAGCTTGACAAAAATAAATAATGTCAAAGGCGTCAATGAATCGTCTGTTAGCCATCATAGTTTTCCATGTTTCGTTCCTTGGATAAATGTCGAAGATAACTATTTAATTAAACTGATATGTAAAACAATGTATAACGATGATAATAATCATTGAATCTCGCATCATACTTCAATGAGTCGTTTAACAGGTAAAGCATCATATGAGTCAAGATTATCATCATCGAAAATTATGTCAACCGATATATTTATTCACCTGAAAGCAGTAAACACAAAAGGTTATAAATAGTTTCGTTTGCTATCCCGAGTTTTTCTCTCCAATCCCAAAATTTGTTGTTGTTGGCGAAAGGGATGATTTGAAAGTTACACCAATTATTTTGATTTTTTTTGTGACATGCAAACCCGCGAGCTTGTAATAAAGCAATGGTTATTTATAGGTATAAAATGAATGACCAATGTATTTTAATTAAAAGGCAATGATTTTCAAAAATGATTTTGCATAATTGAAACTTGATTTATGATTAACATTGTATTAAAAAAACAATTCATAAGAAATAGGGGATGTAGCTCAAATGGTAGAGCGTCCGCTTTGCATGCGGAAGGTACTGGGATCGATCCCCAGCATCTCCACAAATTTTTTCTACAATTTTTTTTTCATAAATTAATAATAAATAGACTGATGTTTATTTTTTATATAAATATGAAAGATTTTGATAATCAAATATTATTAATGCACGATAATCTTTATAAAGTGCACCAGCACCTCTTTTTATTGTGATTTGCTATTTACTTCTTTATATTGATTAAATGTTGTGAGTGGTTGGTAATTCCTTAATCTTCTTTACTATTTATTACCAAGAAATATATTACGTTTTTACTATTTATTTATTAAACATTAATTTATTATAATGATGATTCTGCTCTCACAAAATTCAATTACAAAATAAAAGATAGCCGCCCAGTCATACTAATTAGTCGTAATCAATCATAAACAATAATAATAAATAATAACAATTAATATTATTAATAAGATTCGGGGATAGTGTACATCTATTATTTACGCCAAACAGAACTTTATTTTTCTTTCTTTCTAACAACATACTTACTTATATATAAATAAATCAATTAAATTTATTTTTTAGTAAAAAAAAAAAAAAATTAGAAGAATGATTTCAAAAAAATCCTTCGTTGTTACTTTCTTCTTTTTGATAATAATAATATCGTTATCGGTACCAATAAGTGCAGTACCTTTCGATGATAATGAAAATGGAGTTGCTCCTTTAGTGACTTCAGAGAATGCAGAGGTCATTCTTGACCAATACATTGTAGTCCTCAAGAAAAATACAGAAAAAGCTAATATCCTCAAGCATCACGAATGCATTCACGGACATGTCGAGTCTGAGAAATTCAATTTTACAAAAAGAGGATTATTTGATGAACAATTATTTTCTGGAATTCGCCACGTTTACGACCTTGATGATTTTAAAGGATATTCAGGCAGGTTCAGCAATGAACTTTTAGATAAAATTAGGAGAAGCGAAGAGGTAAATAATTTATTTATATAATTTAAATGATGATGATCGCCAACAATAATAACTCATTACGATTTATTATAATAATCTTTAAATTTTTATTAGGTTGCGTATGTCGAAAAAGATCAACTAGTGTATGCTAGTAAATTGGAAAAGAACGCACCATGGGGTTTAGCACGTATTTCCCAACGGAGTCGATTGACATTGGGTAATTATAATAAATACAACTACGACAGGCGCGCTGGCAGAGGCACTGTTGTTTACGTAATTGACACTGGCATTAATATTGACCATGACGATTTTGAGGGTAGAGCTTCATGGGGTGTTACTGTTCCTGATGGTGATGAAGATATTGATGGACATGGACATGGTATGTAATTTATTTGTATGATAAGTAATACGACATAATGTAAATTATATATATTAATTATAATATTGTTATTATATTATTTTAAATAAAGGAACTCATGTTGCTGGAACAATTGCCGGAAAAAGATACGGTGTTTCAAAGAAAGCCAAAGTTGTAGCAATCAAAGTTTTGCGATCCAATGGATCCGGTTCAATGTCAGATGTGATAAAAGGCATAGAATTTGCCACAGAATTATATTTAGAAGAGGTTGCTAAAGCTCGCAGAGAGCGTAGACGTTTCAGAGGTGGTGCTGCAAATATGAGTTTGGGAGGTGGTAAAAGTCAATCTTTGGATCTTGCCGTTGACGCAGTATGTATTTCTTTAAAATAATAATAATATATATATATTTATTTATTTACGCATTCATTGTGTCATACTAATCATATTTACTTGTAATAAATAGGCTGTAGATAATGGGCTTATTTTTGCGGTAGCAGCTGGTAACGACAATAAAGATGCTTGTAATTATTCTCCAGCCGCTTCACAAAAGGCAATCACAGTTGGTGCTACAACTGTTGGAGATGAACGTGCCTGGTTTTCAAATCATGGACAATGCGTAGATGTGTTTGCCCCAGTAAGTATTTTGTTTTTTATTAAAAAAATTTTTTCGTTAATTAATAATAACATTATAATCATATGTATGAATGTATGTGTATAAATAGGGTCAAGACATTACATCAACATGGATCGGCTCAAGTACAGCCACAAATACCATTTCTGGTACATCAATGGCATCTCCACACGTCGCTGGTCTGGTTGCTTATTATCTTTCAATCGAACCAGAACGTGACTCTGATTACTTCACCTTAACATCATTAGCAACACCTGAAAAGGTGAAATCTAATATTATTAGATTTGCAACAAAAGACGC